TTAAAAAACAATTCTCTTCATATTTATCCCGTTCCTCCTCTGATATTATTATTATTAGCGCTGGTGTTTTATCTATACTTTCAATAAGAATAATGGGCAACAACCCCAGTAATTTCAGTAGCAGTGGGAGTGGAGGACCTGTTATACCAACTCCAGGTTTATTGTATTTTATTATCGTAAGTCGAATTTTCGAAAACGTGTAATGTTCTTACTTACTCTCTCTACTTTTTTTGCTTTACGATTATCAGATGATTATGATAAGAGAAGACTTACCAATTTGTACAATACTCCTGTGGAGAGCGCACAAGTCTTTAAAAGAAAATTGCTCACCGGAGGCTCTTTAATTTATTACGAAGGTATCCGCATCACCGATAAATCCGGGGGGCAGTATCTAATTCATAGCACTGATGCAAGCGGAGCTCAGGTCATTACTGAGGCAAGACACATGTCTAATAACTGGGAGACTGTTGGGGAAGTTCTTGTCCCAAGAGGCAATCAAACTGTTGGTGACCTCATGAAAACTGCTAGACAAGATGGTGGATACAATCTGTTAACTAATAACTGTTGGAATACTGTGAGCAAAATCAAAAAATCACATTTTTGAGGTTTATCTTTTATTTGATGCTTAAGGATGAAATTTTGAGAGATGTTTTGATAAAATAGAAGAATTTTAACGCAACTTTTTCATGTATTGCTATGAATCTCTTCTATGCATAATGTCCAAGTTAAGCTTTTGGATAGTTCTAAATCTGTTTGAGCAATAAATTGTATCCTTTATCATCTGTACTCGACATCAGCAAGACTGCATCTATTTTGTACTAAATGTTGGGATTATATTTCCCGTAACGGGGCGCAGTGTTATTTATAAAGGCTAGCCAAATTCTCATCGTTGAGACATAATGGGTTGATTGTATTTGACAATTGGCATATTAAATAAAAGACAACGGAGTCAAACAAATTTGTTATTGAACAAACATAAGGAATTTTCTAATTAACATTGTTTGGCTTGAGTGTTATAATCTCACGTGTCAAGTGAGAGTTTATATTATAGCGGGAATGACATAAACTTTATGACGTGTAACCACTAAAGTTTAAAACTATTATACTAAACCATCACTCTTTTCCGTAGGCTCGTCCTTATTGGTGTTGAATAAGACAGAGGACATTCCAAGTGCGTTTAGGGACGCGTTTGAAAGCAGGAACATTTGCCCGCCCCGATACTCGCACCATGATTTATTATTAATAAGAAAGATTGTTAACGTCATGTGATTTTCAAAATTGTGTTATGTATCTCACTAATGCATCTATCAGTAATAGTTGTACACGCAGATGTAGTAGCTTCGGACAATATTTTGCATTTCTCTAATTGGTATATTACTAAAATCATGGCTTCGATCGAAAATGAGAATGTTTATATCTGGACATGAACGCAGAATTGCACCGAGATTCATCTGAGATTTTTAAACCCGCCAATTTGGATACAGTATATCATCTTTGAGCAACACGAGGATACTATTTTTCCACACATAACTCTTTTTAACTTTTTTAATTGCCAATAAAGGGATCCAAATATATCTTTACTATATCAATTCTACTGGTAATATTCTATAAAAACTCAATGCATTTCTATAATATTGGAACACTGCAATGATATTAAAGTACTGTATATTGGCAAATAATGCTAGATAGAGTGCTTTATTCTTGGCCAAGAAATTAAATCTGTCTTCAAGCAACTCGGAATAATGAGAGTATAAGCCATGTCTTTTTTTAATGAATTTATTCTTGTTTTATTTATGAAAAAGATATATCGTGTATATAAATTAATGCATTTACAATTTGATCTTTATGATATAAATAAAGATCTAAAAGAAGAATATCTTACTAATTAGCTTGTTGCCATCCATAAGGAGATCTAATATATCAAGAATGATTAGTTAGTATTTAAATTAAAGAAAAATAAAAAAAGAGTCAATAATTTTTTAAAGAACCATTCTATAAAGCGATTAATTAGATCGATATATTTATTCTTTATTAAAATATCGGCAAGTTTAATTTTTAGAACCGATATTTATTATATATTACATTTAATTTTTTTTTTTTTTTTTTATTGTGATGACTTGAACTATTTTCCAGTTTGTAACATGTTGACCCTCAATTTTTTAAATTGTTTATTAAAACTCTTATACTGTATATAATTGAAAGTATAGTAATATAGTAGCCTATATAATTTATTACGATAATAATAAAATCCTTTTAATAATATCTTTGATAAAAAATTTTTTTTTAAATCCGCAGTCAGGTCAACATAGCATATCTTTATTGTATATACAGTATATATAATATTTGCAATGTTGTTATAATTTTCACATGTTAACTCACCTGTCATAGAAAAATTAATTCTCGAGATGCAACCTAAAGAATGATATTTTGCTCCTTGCTGATTTGAATTAACCTTAAATCAGTAAAATTATTGCTTACAGGTTATTACTATAAATCTACCTAAGTTCTGTTTACAGTTTAAAATTCGAACCACTTAATATTATGACAGACTCATTCTCTAATAATTTCTATATAATCCTTTTCTTTTTCCCTTTTTCATCCTCTTATTCCATATTTTCTACCAGAAATAATACAGTATTAGTTCTTTAGAGTCTTATAGAATTGATATGTTCAGTCTATATTTAACTTTTTTGTTCATTTCTTTTCTTTGATAATAACTAACCTTTTCTTTCAATTTATTATCTCAGCACAGTGACTGTTCCAAATTTTTTCTTGAAATTTTTTTGTATTTTCTGATAAAACTTATTGATTATAAACTGTATAGTTAATAAAAAAATCTTTAGTTATTTTTATAAATAGTTTTTTAAGAATGTGATTTTATTTTTTTTCATATATTTATATATAGTATTGAAAAGATTTCTATCTAATTGTTGGATCTCCTTCAACTAGTTCTTTGTCCAATTAATAATCTCAGATAAAATTTCTTTCTTGTTTTTTATTTATTTATCAATGTAAAGGTAATCATTTTATATATTTTCTTTCATACCGTATAGGTGCGAAATAACGCACACCTGCATATTATTTCAGATACCTGCACATTATTTCGAGTACGCACGTATGCGTTATTTCAAAAAAGGATTGATTCTTCAAACCATTATTTTTAAAATAACACTCATGACGTTATTTAGCTTGTGATAATTTTTTTATTCATGTGAATTTGTGATTATAAAGGCTTAACAAGGGCTTATAAAAAATACAAATAAATATAAGCCACAATGATCAATTCGTATTATTTTTTGCACATAATAATAAACAAATAAATTATTTTTTTTCTTACCTGTTGTTTTTTTTACTTATCTCGAGCAAAAATCCCGAAATTTCTATAAGCGATTATATTAAAAAATTAGATAATAATGAAAATATGGACTTATATTAAATACTACGTAATAGTAATGAAGATTATAAAATGACAGATCGGCTTCAAGCTATTGTCGAAAATCATGTAAATAATATTAATATAGAAGAATTATTAAGCGAAAATGAAATGTTAACACCTGATGAATTAGATATTAAAGATATGATAGAAACAAATTATAATTATGAAACTGATGAAGAGAAGGATTTTGAAGACATGACGGAATTAGATAATTATGAATAAATAGAAAGTAAAAAATATTTTTTTTATTAAATAATAAAGTTTTAAACAATTTTGTTAATTATTATATTTTTATATATAAGTGCGCATTATTTTGAATATACCCATGGGTGTTATTTTAAAATAAATATTTATTTTTTTAAATGAACTGTTTTCAAAATAACATACATGGGTGTTATTTCATGTCTATATAGTATATATTTTTTAGCTTCTTTTATAACTGGGCATTTAAAAAGATGATTTAATATTTCTTCTTATAGTTTGTATAAGGTGCAAATAATTAGTAAATAAACTTATAGTTTTCTTTTTTTGAGTATTTACAATATTGGAAGTTTATTATAGGTCAAATTTATCAAGAAACTCTAATTTTATTAAACTTGAAGAATATATATAAGGTGTTAAAGATATTGAAATGGTTTTAAAAAATTGACCAATCTATACTTTTGTCTTGTTAAATCCAGAAATACTGAATTTTCTTTTGTAATATCTAGTTCAAACCAATTTTTTTCTTATTTGCTATTTTAATAAAATCTCTGATATTAATATTTATTATATGCTCTTTTTTTAAAACTATTATTAGAACTTTCTTATGCTCTAATACCTAATCTCATAATATTAGATTTTCATATCTGATATGTTTGGTAAGGAAGTCTACATAGTTGTTAAAATTATCAGTACTATGGATTTTAATTTTTTTAATTTTTAGAATAAGATCTTTTTTCAAAACCAAGTCTTAGATTTTATTTCATAATGGCCAGTTAATATTTTTTATTTATTTTTTTATAGATACTTAACTTTATAAGTAAATAAACTTCTATATTTTGATAGCAGTACTATAGTCTGTAATAATTAAAACTATTGTATCTTGAGAAACTATATATAAAGCAGTAAAAATAGCTAATATTCTTGTTTTTGTGCTGATGGCCATAGTATTGCTTCTACTAAGAACTGCTTTAAAATCTTGTTATTTACTATTAGAATTCATGCAAAACTCATTTTTAATTTATTATCTTTAATTAGCTTCTTGAAAGAACCATTTTTATAAAATATAAAATGATTATTTATTTTTATTTTATAATATTTTAAAATATCTATCAATTTATTCTAATGTTTTTTCGATTGAATTGCTTGTTTAATTAATATAGTTTTTCAATTCTTTACTTATATATCTATTCCAATTTAATTATTATTTGAAAAAGTTATTTTTTGATGACTCTTAGATATCTGTCAGTTTGTAGGTTTGCCTAAAAAAAGAATTTGCTTTCTTTTTCTTAAACTCTTTTATTTGTTTAAGTATAGAAACAGATGAACTTGTCTAATAATATATTAAGGAAATAAGTAGATATATTAGGATGGAAAAGAATACAGTTACTAGTAAAATTATATAATAGCTAATATAAAATAAAGTAGATCTTACTATTTGAGAACTTGATTTTTCCTATTATGTTATGTGGAGTATTGGAAAAGATTTCCCAATATGTTTTTCTTTTGTTCAAAGTTTATAATATTATTTTAGTTTATATATTATAACTTATTCCATTTATTAGACCTACAGATCAATAGTGCAGTGGTTAGCACTTCGTAGGTCAGATCACAAGATATAGATTCAAATCCTTCAGGAGGCTAATGTGTTTTCCTGAACCAAAAAGCAGGTAAAATCTAGCAAATCATCTATTGACCTAACTATATATAATCGATGTTTCTGAGTATAGCTAGTGCAGATCAAGATAATCAATGGTTTTCATTGTGTTATGTTGAAAATCAAGATCTCCACAATACAAGACAGTCTATACAAAAATTGTAATCAGGTCTCTATCTAAAACTAAGTAGGATTATTCCTGATAAAACTACATTACCACCTGTTGGTAACAAGAAGAGTAGACCCCTAAACTAGTTGCATGCTACTAAGAAAGAACTGACTGAAGATATTATCTGATTTCAAGACTTCAAGCATATGTCTATGCCTTAATTCATAGACTTAACAATTGGGTGACCTTGATGGAAGGAGAAATCTGTGGACCACTCCAAAGGATCAAAAAACTGGATCCAGAATAAAGAAAATTTGATGGCCTGATAATCAGACTACTCTTAATAAAACTGGGTTGGGAAAAATTAAGAAGAAATTACATAGTTTTCTGATAAGGTAGTGCTTATACATAGTTAGTAATATATAGATAGCTACCCATGTATATAGATTACTAATATAAGTAGATGTATGAGTACTTGTTAGTATATATATTGTTAGCCTTAATTATTAGTTATATTTTCTTTGGATTATTATCTATAGTCTTTATCTATCATATTATGTAGTTCTATTTTTAGATTATGTGACACATATGATACAAGGTGTATCTCATTAGTTCATAGGGTAAATCCAATCAATAGAGTAAAGTAGTGATTGACGTAGCACGCATTATTTAATTTCATTATTTAATTTTATATCTTATCTATATTTAGCTAGCAGATTACCCAAGTAAACAGATCTGGCATATTGGCCTAAGTTGCTAAATCTGGTAGATTTGGTCACTTTGATCACTTTAGTAATCAAATAATTAATATTCAATTATATATATAAAGGCCAGCTGTCCAAAGCAGTTGACCCAAGATTTTACTT